CTTTGGCCCCAAAGAAGATCTCCAGGGTGGCTCAAGTCTGCAAGGTCAAGAAATGGGTTTTGGAAAAGTATCTTGGGGATACTTGGCTAGATTGGTTTTTGGTGGGAGCCCAGCCCCTATGACCCTCAACAATCCTGCGCGAAGGACGACAAGCACACTGGGATGCAAACAATTTTGGCTCCTGTACTTGCACCGGACACCACAATATGTGGAAGTCATTCAATGCAGAAGTGGGTTGCTACCGGTTCGCACCAGTTTGGGCGAACCAATAGTGGACAATGGGACTGGGTTGCCAAACCGGTAGGGACGGCTGGCTGGCCACGCCCCTGAACTGGTTCCCGTCCCCCATGCTGTTACTCATTTTACAATGTTCTACGCATGCACAGAAAAAATGTACAGGCAACTGCGCATGCGCAAGCACGAAGTGAACCGGCAGTAACGCTGACAGCAACCCACCCCTGATTCAATGGTACACCACTGCGTCAATGGTGCCATAATGGTAGCGCAACTGGCCATTGTGACCTCCTGGTGGCTTGCTATGGGCCCTCCATCAACCAATAGATTCGATGGCTTAGAGCCACAGCTAAATTCAGTCATGGTGGCTTCTTCAATCCATGATGTCAGGTTGCAACCTAAAAGATTTATTCAAGGTTGTGCACAAGGATCTGGTCAGCTAAAGGTCAACCTTAAATTGGCACCAGATGAGGGTCAATAGAATTTCAGGAGGGACTGGACCTGGAGTGCTTGTGGGAACGCAGCGATCTTAAGCTGATGACACACTTAACTCCTCCAACCTAGATGGTTTTTCCTTCTGCTGCTCTTTGAGTAAACTCCTTTCCCCCCCTTCTCTCTGCAGGGCGATAAAGGAGGCAATGGTTCGTTTTCCGCAGCTAAGTGGACAACTCTCCTGAAGTCCATGTTGGTCTGTGTGGACTCGGACACTAACAAAGTTAGAAACTTTGACCAGCTTCAAGACGTCTTTATCGTTGAGTCGGAACAATGGTCTGAGACAAAGATCTACGGGCTTTTCCAAAATGAGTGGTGAGTCTTCTGCTCTTTGACCATAAATCTCCACCAGAGGACTTCTGGTTGGCTTTGGAGAAACTTCTTCCTTTGCAGGAACTTTCCTTCCTTCTTCCCTGTCTTATCCATGCGGCATGGACTTAGATGATGGCAAGGGCCTCATTTTTATTGGCCTATAATCTAATATTGGCCATAATCTATCTATAAATGGCTCTGTGTGTGTGTATATATATATATGTTCCAGCATAACTCTGGAATTTACTTTCTGGAAACAAATACTTTGGGGGGGTAAGACACCCTTAAAAACCCATCTGGGTGTGTATTCTGTTAAGATACAACCTGTTGTGCCTTAAAATGGCTTCTACTGTACAGTGCATTGGAGTTGCCATGGTAACGGTGTCACATTACTCTACAAGGGGGCCCCCTCTGGTAAGGGGGAAAATCCAACATGAGAAATTACGATTGGTCTGGACATTTCCCCCCTATAGATAAATAGGGGTTATCAACTAGTTTAATATGAAGCCATACAAACAAGAGTTGCCATTGATGGGAGATTGATTCCTTTGTGCCTCATTTCCACAGGGGTTACTCGGCCGTCTGCGTCTACTCTGTTGATGACATCAGCAAACGCTTCAGAACGTCTCCCCTGAAAAACTACAGTGGGAAAACCCCTGCAGTGAAGCCAGGACAGGTAAAAAGCAGAGGTGAACGTTGGGTGGGAAAATGATCCTTCCAACATGTAGTCAATTTGGAGACTACGAGATATCATAGTAATAGCAAGAGCACTTAGACTTATATAGCACTTCACGGTGCTTTTACAGCCCTCTCTAAGCGGTTTATAATGTCAGCGTGTTTGCCCCCAACAATCTGGGTCCTCATTTTACTCGCCTCGGAAGAATGGAAGGCTGAGTCAACCTTGAGCCTGGTGAGAATTGAACAGCTGGCAGTGGGCAGAGTTAGCCTGTAATGCTGCATTCTAACACTGGGAGGGAGGGAAGGAAGGAAGGAAGGAAGGAAGGAAGGAAGGAAGGAAGGAAGGAAGGAAGGAAAAATAGCAATAGCAGACTTATATACCACT